GCCCTTTATCTTCTAAACTTCCTGATAAACATGCACTATCAAGATGAACTTAGCATTGACGAAGGACGCTTGTTTTCAAACTAGGAAATATTTTGAATGAATAATAAAGCAATTATTGAATTCAGATTTCGTAGGATATGAATAATTATGCAGATCTCAGAGGGTGTTATCCACTGAGGCCGAAGAACTCGAAAAATGCAAAAGGCCAAGAAATGCAAAATGCTGCTTTATTTAAGGACATATAAAAAATAGGGACCCAGGTCCATGGACCATCCCTGTGGACCTAGTCCATGGACTACCCCTGTGGACCACCTCTAATTTTGAAGATGAATTTTACCAGTGGTCGAAACAAATTTTAGGAACCTTAAATGGACAAAACTGCGGTCAGCTTTTATTATCAGGGTTATGGGCTTCTCATATTTTACAATTGTTCAATTTTTTTTTAATTCCATACCAATGTAATGGGTTCGTTTTGGTTTGGTGAAGGGGTAACCATATTTGAAGGGAACGGGAGGAGTAGTGACAGGGAGGAAGTAGTCTCCTATTCAGCTCCTTTTTTTGTCTTCGCGTTGTGTGAAAATTGAAACAAAAACGGCTGCATATGAGACTGTAGAGCAAGCTTAATGTCTATGTGTTTGTGATGAAAGCGATCTCGACTTGAATGGATGGCATGGTAATTTACATGAACCAACCTGTAAGTGTCCGCAAACTTGTAAGGTGTTCGAGCAACCACATTGTTTGATAACATGCAGGTCATTTAATGCTTGTCTTTGTGAGCAGGATTCAATATGTTTGCCTACCAATAAATATTTCCAAGGGCTATCAAGGGAACTTAGGAAAGTCTGGGGAGGGTACTCAATCATCATGCATTACCTCTTCCTCTCTAGTCTCCTGTGCAGCCATTTTTGTGCCAATTTTCACACAATGCGACAACACACAGAAAAAACCGATAAATAAATACTTCCTTCCTACCTCTCCTCATGTGCCCTTCAATATTGTTTATCCTTCCAGACTAAAATGATGAACCCATGTATGGAATTCAGGAGAAATTTGAGCAGGTGCATAAATTATACTGTTTTTATTTAAAGAAACTCATGGCAACAAATACAATAGCATATAAGGCTGAATTACAAAGCTAATTACAATCATAAAATAACATGTACAAAAATAGATAATAAATGCCCTGATCCTGATAATATCAATTAACACAATTTCTTCCATTTTAAGGCTCCTAAAATTTGTTTAGACCTCTGGTAAAAATTCACCTTCAAAAATTAGGGGTGGTCTACGTGGGTTGTGCACGGACCTGGTCCAAGAAGAGGTCCATAAACTAGGTCCACAGGGGTGGTCCATGGACCAGGGGGCCATGTTTTGTATACTTCCATAAATAACCTAGTTGTCATGTGATGTCTAATCAAAATGGTCACAAATTTACGTCTATTCTTTTGTTTTCGCGTAAACATAAGTTGTAGAATCTCTCACGCTTGTAAATCGTAGTCAGTGGTAGTTTAGTACTAATATAAAGTGATACGAATCATAAATTCTAGATTAAAATCATGCTGTCTTGGCACTAAACCCTCCAACGTAAGCTTACTTCGCACACGTCTTGGATTTTCTCACACCAAATACCTTTTAAGATGTTAAAACATTCATTTACGCCGGCATGTAACACTTTTAAAACCGGAATTTGCATGAGAAGACTGAATCAGAGGAGCAAAGTGAAAAGTAGAAGCGAAATTCCTTACCTTATAGATTAAAACTTGGATGCTCGCTGCCGTCCACTGCTATTAAGCGGAAGTTCAGTGCCCGTAAGGATTCATGGGAAGGATGAATATGAGATAACTCGAGGGTGGGGAAGGTGGAGGAGAACAATAGCACTAACCCAAAGCGCTTTCAGTTTCGGATTTTATAATGACGCCATAATAATTAATATGTTCTGATTTCCTATAAGGTTTTCCAAATTTTTTTCCTAACCTAGGAAAGATCGAAGCGACACTGCTAGCAGGGTAAATTTACCTTAAATGTTATCAACTGCTATTGCCTTGGAATAGTACGTGTGAAAACCAACACCTTGACCAGGAGCCGATTACTTAAGTAAGGAGCTCCTGAATGACCTCAAATTCTCATCGAGTCGCAAACGCCCGAGATACGGCTGAAATTCAGGCTAGCTGTCAACAAGTTCATAAGCTCTCAGCACAAATTGCGATAATAAAGGTACGGTCATTTTTTCAAAAAGGCTGAAACGTGAAAACCAAAATTTCTTTGATGAGCCAGAAGAAACTGAAAGTGTTATTGAGGACAGAAGTACATTTTCTAAACTAGGTTAGATTGACTTTTACCCTCTAAGTCAGAAGGCACTTTCTCAGAAAGGGCTTATTTTTCATTTTCGCTAAACATTTTGGGTAGAAGCAGGAAACATAGCATAAACATAATCTTCGTCTTACCGCCCTGATGAAGAATATTGCTGTTTGGACCTTGAAATCGAAGGATCTCGACTATCATGAGATGGGGTGGGCGGGGGGGGAGCGGTTTCATTCTAGGCTCCCTATTCTCCAACATGGAAGCGAGGCCGGATCTAAAAGCCCACAGACGGCAAGGAAAAAGACTACCATAATTGTTTTTTGGCCACTATAAGAAAATCAGCATAACCATCAATAAGGTTCCACTTAGTCACGTGACTGGAAAATAGTAATCACGTGCCCTAAATATTCAGCATACATCTGCACCCGACAAAACTAAAATGGGGTTATTAAAATAACAACTGTTTCAATTGAATGGTTAATTTATCCTTAACTTCCAGTAATGTCAAATATTCTATGAGTCAATGATAATACTATGGTTAATAATAAGGCTATTAATAACTTCACAGGAGTTCAGGCTTCGGGAGTAATCATCGATTGTTTATTGCGACAGTGTTGTTTCGTATGGTCCAAAATTATAGGACCTAGCCTGCGTAAAGGCGTCGAAAAAGGGTTGGGGATAGGGAGGAAGGGAAAAGGGGGGATCGGGGAGAGGAAGAGGGTACGCCGCTCCCTCCCCTTTTCCCTTTCTCCCTCCCCCCTCCCCCTCCCCTTTTTGCGCCTGCCCCGTAGACTATATAGGACCACTCTCATCAGTCAACTTCAACGATTAATATGTAAGGTTTTATAAAATCCTGGTTATCGAAGATGAAATATGGAACATCGAACGATGGAATATGAGAAAGAACTTGTCTGACCAATCTTGCAAAAGGATCTAGTGCAGGCATTTCCAGGGCTTCGCATTGTGCTGGCACTCTAAGAAAACGTTCAAGATGACGACAGAAGAATTTAAGATCGTCATTGTCATGTTTTTACGCCCAGACGACATTTACAGAGTCATCGAAAAGTACATAGCTACAGTCGTCAGGAATGTCCAGAGTTTTTTAATACTGGGAACGTACTGAAAGGTAAGCTTTGAAACCGTGCCATACAAGATTACAAGCTGACCCATATTTAGCCCCTTTTTGAACTTTATTATTCCGCATACAACATATCACAAAAAGACAAAGAAAAACAGGTGGCGAAAATAGGTTGGGAGGGTGGGTCGCTATACTCTTTACCGTCGTAGTCTTCAGTAGAGTGATGAAAGGGAGCACGGACCCTCCTCACCTCTTCAGTATCTTGTTCAGTGTTACTTCCTCGATTGGAAAGCAGTCGTCTGTCCCCGCTCCTCGCCGCTAGGGACGTTTCGGCGGCGAGGAGAGGAGGCTGTTTTCGGAGGCTTATTTCTTTCTTGTCGGAGACAAACCGTGGATGCTTGGAACTAGTTAAGCTGGGGATTACAACTTTCATTTTGATGATCAGAATCTTCAGACTGTTTTTTATTGAGTTCAGCAAGATTCTACAATCATTCGAGTGCACGCAATACGTTAGTGCAGCCACACACGTAGCCTGTTCCAGGCGTTCAAATAGTAGAGCGCGGGAGAAAAATTCACGAAGAATAAAAAAAGAGGGGAGACTAGAGGGGGAAAGGGGGAGAGAAGGGAGGAAGGGGGAAGGGACTTCCCTTGCTCTCAGCCCCCCCCCCGCCCCCCCCCCCCCCGTTTGCCGGTGTGCAATTTAACCCGCTCCCCCCTAACCCCCGCGCTCTTCCATCTGGACGCCTGGAAAACGCTACCCCACACACAGGGAACCACACCCCGCCTTTCCTAATTTTTAAGAGCACTGGTAACTGGCACCTCTGTAGACTGGGACAGAACACCATTTCCCAATCTCTTTTAAGCCCCCCTTCCCTTCCCGATATTTTCATTAACTGGTAAATGATAGACTATATTAATCAATCAGGACGCAACACTTCGTGTGGACTGATCCGGGATGGTTTATTCACCAGCTGGAAGTTCGGATTTACTTTTGATCCTCCGCTGTATGACCTCCAACTTCTTGTATTGAGTTTTTCCTTTTTTGCGATCTAGTTTTTCAAGGAGAACTGATACTATCTTCTTTGCTAAATTGAATAAGCTCCATTCAAATGTGGTTAAAATAAATAAGCCCCCCGGGGGGCCTAATAGAGGATTTACGGTAAGCAAGGTGTCACATTTGGTATCATGGACGCTGCGTCAAAATTATTGGAAGGACACCCTCCAAAAAATAGGACAGATATATAATGTTATAACTGCAAAGATTGAGTGTAAATGAAGAAATGCTGGCTTCTTAGCCCCTGGGGATGGGGATTTGGCGTGTAGTTTAAGCCCTATACACCGGTAGTAGGTTTTTGCTTGATCGTGAGAACAAATCCCCTGGGGTGTCCCAGGAGTTGACCGCCGGCAAACCCAATGAGAAGTACATTAGTTTCAGGAGATGTGCCCATGGACACGCAGCGTGAAGTGAAAATTATTATTGCAGCAACCGTGATGTTTCATGACGACACTCATACTGAATTCTCTCTTCTACTTACCAGATTTGTTGCAAATGGACAAGCTTAGTATTGTTCCCGAACCTGGTCTAAAATCCGCACATGAGGGAGAATCCGTTGAAAACCCTAAGGACGACATTTCCTTGGATCCAGGTGAAGTGCCTATAGCTATGGTAACGGCGAGTGGAGTGAGAGAAATTCGTGCTGCAACCATGAAGTTTGAAGCTGAGCATGGAAAATGCATTCGACGTGTGGTCAGATTGTGCTTCAGTTTTACTGATGTGTTTAATGGAGAGTCTGGTATTCCAAAAGATTTAAAAGAAGAAGCCCAAACGTTTTTCGAAGATATGAATGTGAAGCTGGAATGGCCAGATCTGTATAATAACAGCGTCAACATACTGAATGTTCAACGGCACGAGTATTCATTCTGGCGAACACAAATCACTGACTGCTCCTCAGGTTGACGAGTGGATTCTGGAGAAGCGCTGAATTCACTGATACCCAAAAGAGTACAAGAGAGGCACAAGTACAAAACGACCGCGAGCTTTAAATAGGAGCAAGCATTGGCGTACAGGAAAAGCTAGCATCGGGGACACCAAGTGCTATTGTGAAAAGCGGTAGCACTTATTATGCTCTGTCCTGTGATCATGTAATGAAATCGGAGAACTCAAGGCGTATTGTTCATCCTGGACATTATGACCACCTCAAGTATCCTAAGTTGCCTCGTTCAATTTCAAAGTGGGGCACCTCGTCACTGTAGCCATGGCGACCAAATCGAAAAGGTTTAAAAGGTGCTTGTGCATCCAACAGGGGACAAGGCGTTTTGCAGCAGAAAACAACCACATCCTGCTCAAAGGTCTTGAACTTCTCTTCGGTTCCCCCCCGTCCCCCCCTCCCCGTTTTGCCGGTGTACAATTTAACTCGCTCCCCAATAACCGCCGTGCTCTACTATCTGAACGCCTGGAACACGCTACCACACACAAGGGAAACCACACCCTGCATTTCATAATTATTACGAGATCTGGTAACTGACAGCTTGATAGACTGGTACAGAAACCGTTGCGGTCGAGTTGGATTAGCTGGATCCCATGCTATCAGATCATTACAACAGATTGCAAACTTTTGATTACAAAAGCATTTTTTTCTAAAAAGTACAAAGTATCTTTTCGAAAAACAGGTACCATGTGAACAAGCCCACCGACGTGGACGAGAGCGTTTTGCAATCACTGGCAATTTGAAATGCTTTTTAAAAGATGTAAAGTTCAGTTAAAACTGTAATTAACAAGCCATTTAAAACCGGCAAACAAAGCTGTAGTGAGCAAAAGAAAAAAAATAGTTTCAAAAATAAATAAAGACTTTATTTTCAATAACCATAGTTTCTGTACTTAACTACAGTTATTCACGAATGGGTCCCACCCTAGGATATATCTTAAGTACAGTATTGCCCTCAGGTCAAACTTCCGCTAAGGGAACCTCCTGTGGGTCCGGGACACCTGCCACAAGCGAACACTTAGTCATGGTCCCAGCGATCTACAAACAGTGAAACACCCAAGGGCTCTCTCCTCCGCAGAGGCTCCCGCTGGATATTCTGATAAAAATAGAGATAAATAAAAAAAAATAGTAAGTGCGCGGTGGACGATGGGAAAAGAGAAAAGGTGGGAACCTGTCTTCTTCTCTTTCCATTTCCCATCGTCCCCCGCTCGCTTTCCTATTCCCCTCTCCCCAGCCTCTCTACAATACAAGGATATCCACTTACGAGAGGTTTGAGTATAAAGTTATGGTCGGATTGAGTAGGGTACGTTTCTCCTAAGAAAGTTTTTGTTCATGTATCCGGCCGCCGATTCCCTAAGTAATTAATGATGTAACTATCAACCAATAGTCACAATAAATCATCCGAATGATAAACCTACTTGACAGCCAATTGTCTGACTGCCTGACTGACAAACGTAACTGACTGATTGGTGAACTAAATGGCACTGATTGACCACTGAACAGAAATGGCTGAATCTCAGAATCAATAAATGACTGACAGCCGTATTTGAATAATTTCAAAATAAATGGGACAGCGGGGCGAATAAGTGATGGATTTGTTATTTCCTAATCCGATTAAACAATAAACTAGTTAGAGAATCTGACCTTGATATATGCTACTTGCAAAATAAAAAACACGCTAAACTAATCAATAACTTAAATAAATAAAAAAGTTTACGGAGTTCGGTTTTTTATCTTCACTTTAGTCCCATCAACTAGCAATTTAAAAACAAATCACTAACTATGCCGATGGGATAAAAAACCTCCACCTTGAACTACGAAAGCTGAGAGGTCGACTATCCCCAAACCCTCTGCTAAAGAACATAAATCAGAAAGATCCAGTGTCTTTTTTAACGGCTATTACCTAAGGCCCCGTCCACACGTATCCGGATATTTTAAATCCGCAACTTTTTCTTTCCGGATTCAAAAATTTTCACGTCCACACGTATCCGGATCCAAATCGAATTTGTCCGTCTACACGTATCCGGATATTTTTGATTCGGCAAATTTTTCTTTACATGGACAGTCTCGAATATTCACGGCAAATAGTTTAAAGAATAGTAAATACCAAAAATCATCTATTAAGCCCCCCACCCAACCCCTCTCAAATAAGTCCTCCCTTTTTAGATGAAGAAATAAAAATAAGCCCCCCCCCCCCAATCTCTTTTAAGCCCCCCTTCCCTTCCCGATATTTTCATTAACTGGTAAATGATAGACTATATTAATCAATCAGGACGCAACACTTCGTGTGGACTGATCCGGGATGGTTTATTCACCAGCTGGAAGTTCGGATTTACTTTTGATCCTCCGCTGTATGACCTCCAACTTCTTGTATTGAGTTTTTCCTTTTTTGCGATCTAGTTTTTCAAGGAGAACTGATACTATCTTCTTTGCTAAATTGAATAAGCTCCATTCAAATGTGGTTAAAATAAATAAGCCCCCCGGGGGGCCTAATAGAGGATTTACGGTAAGCAAGGTGTCACATTTGGTATCATGGACGCTGCGTCAAAATTATTGGAAGGACACCCTCCAAAAAATAGGACAGATATATAATGTTATAACTGCAAAGATTGAGTGTAAATGAAGAAATGCTGGCTTCTTAGCCCCTGGGGATGGGGATTTGGCGTGTAGTTTAAGCCCTATACACCGGTAGTAGGTTTTTGCTTGATCGTGAGAACAAATCCCCTGGGGTGTCCCAGGAGTTGACCGCCGGCAAACCCAATGAGAAGTACATTAGTTTCAGGAGATGTGCCCATGGACACGCAGCGTGAAGTGAAAATTATTATTGCAGCAACCGTGATGTTTCATGACGACACTCATACTGAATTCTCTCTTCTACTTACCAGATTTGTTGCAAATGGACAAGCTTAGTATTGTTCCCGAACCTGGTCTAAAATCCGCACATGAGGGAGAATCCGTTGAAAACCCTAAGGACGACATTTCCTTGGATCCAGGTGAAGTGCCTATAGCTATGGTAACGGCGAGTGGAGTGAGAGAAATTCGTGCTGCAACCATGAAGTTTGAAGCTGAGCATGGAAAATGCATTCGACGTGTGGTCAGATTGTGCTTCAGTTTTACTGATGTGTTTAATGGAGAGTCTGGTATTCCAAAAGATTTAAAAGAAGAAGCCCAAACGTTTTTCGAAGATATGAATGTGAAGCTGGAATGGCCAGATCTGTATAATAACAGCGTCAACATACTGAATGTTCAACGGCACGAGTATTCATTCTGGCGAACACAAATCACTGACTGCTCCTCAGGTTGACGAGTGGATTCTGGAGAAGCGCTGAATTCACTGATACCCAAAAGAGTACAAGAGAGGCACAAGTACAAAACGACCGCGAGCTTTAAATAGGAGCAAGCATTGGCGTACAGGAAAAGCTAGCATCGGGGACACCAAGTGCTATTGTGAAAAGCGGTAGCACTTATTATGCTCTGTCCTGTGATCATGTAATGAAATCGGAGAACTCAAGGCGTATTGTTCATCCTGGACATTATGACCACCTCAAGTATCCTAAGTTGCCTCGTTCAATTTCAAAGTGGGGCACCTCGTCACTGTAGCCATGGCGACCAAATCGAAAAGGTTTAAAAGGTGCTTGTGCATCCAACAGGGGACAAGGCGTTTTGCAGCAGAAAACAACCACATCCTGCTCAAAGGTCTTGAACTTCTCTTCGGTTTACTAGAGCATCAATATCATCATTTTATTTTGGCATCACCATTGCTAGTTGTTCTCGAAGCTTTCACCACTGAGCACCCAAATGGCAGCGGTTTGGAACTGGTTTCAAAGTACATTGAGGGACACACTAGTTTGAGTTTCATGCGTACAGGAATTGCAATTTGCAATTATTTGGCGAGCAACTTTCGAAAAAGAACTCTGAAGAGAGGTGTTGACCAATCGACGTCCATGTAAGAATGAAACTTAAAATTTAGAGGGAACCACTCAGCGATTGTTTGAGTTTGGCTGTGTGCGAGGGTCTTCTCACCTACCGTCACCATATTGACATCGAGAAGACCCAGAGGGTGACGTTGGTAGTTCACTGTTCATTAGGAGTGACCAATAGCAGTTAAGAGTGATTTTAGTAACATTACTCTGATCGTTCATATACTCGCTCCCCTATGAAGATTAAGTTTCTCACTTTGAACAAAAATGCAACTTCCGTCACCTGGCGAGCAAATTATGATTGACAATACGATAATCATAAGTTACGAATAGTACGTAATTACTTCATTATGAAGTGGTGTGTATTCATAATGCTACGATTAAAATTTATCACCAGTGTTCGCTTTGATGTTAGTGATGCAGATGTGATTAATCACACCTCTCTGTTTACATATTATTAAAAAAAATTAAGGTGGC